AGAAACCACTAAATTTACAGAAGGGTATGGAGCCCTGGTGGCGAAGTGGTTATGTGCTCAGCTACTAACCGAAAGGTCATCGGTTCAATCCCACTGGCTGCTCCATGGGAGAAAGATGTGGCAATCTGCTTCAGTCAAGATTTACAGCCTTGTAAACCCTATGGGGAAGTTTTACGCTGCCCTGTGGGGTCACTGTGAGTCAGAACTGACTCCGTGGCAATGGGTTTGGTTTTATGGAGTTGCCAGGAGTCGGAATCGTTCGACAGCAACTAACAACAACATGTACAGAATGCTGCGGGTCTATCAACAGACGAATGGCTAAACGAATTGTAGTATATTCATAAAATGGAATACTATTCAGCAATAAAAACTTGCAAATGATTAATATACACAAAAACACAAACGAATCTCATAAAATTGTTGTGAAAGACGCTAGATACAAAAGAGTACGTTTTATATTATTCCATTTATATGAAGTTCCAGAACAAGCAAATCTAATCTATGGAAACAGACATCAGAACTAGTAGCCTTTGTGGGGGGCTGAGGTGAGTTGTAGGGAGGAAAGGAGCAAGAGGGAACCTTCTAGGGGAATGAAAACGTTCTCTATCTTGATTGGGGCAGTGGTTACAGGTGGGTACACATTGGCCAAAACTCATCCAACTCTACACTTAAAATCTCTGCATTTTATTGTATGTAAATTATTCTCTGGCTTTTAAGAAGTCCTGAAGGATCACAGTGGAGGATCTACTCGCTTTTCTGAGTCTGATCGGGAAAGATTTCACAAAAGAAGGGACATATGAGCAGGACCTTGAAGGAGGAATAGGATGCTTTCTGGTTGGAGCTGAAAACAAGAACAAAAACCCGGAGATGTGAGAGCCCACTGCGCAGTGGCAAACAGAGGTCGCTTCGGGTGTACTTGAGAATGTGGGGAAGTGAGGATGGGGAACAGTGAGAGGCAGGAAAAAGTGGTTGAGATCAGACTGTGAAGGTCCTTGAATGATACACAGCACCTTCCATCAAAGACAATGAGAAATCATGGAAGTGCTTTGATTACTATTTTGTCTGATTACATAAATATGCTCATTTTTTGAAAAATTCAAGTAATTACATATAAAGCAGAACCAAAACCGAAAAACCAAACCTGTTGCCATTGAGTCGATTCCGACTCACAGAGCGGAACTGCCCCATACGGTTTCCGAGGAGCGGCTGGTGGATTGAAACTGGCGATTTTTTGGTTAGCAGCCAAATGCTTAACCCACTGCGCCACCAGGGCTCCATAAAGCAGAAAATCCCCCATAATCCTATCTTCCAAGATAGTCATTGCTAACAATTTAGTGTTTATCTTTCCAGACTTTATATATGTGGTGCGTATTTTTATATTCAGCTTTCAGCTTTTTATAAAACGGAATAACAGGATACGCTGTCTGCCCCACACGAGCTAAGATCCTGCCTGTTCTCACTGTTACGTTCTCAGAACCCAGCAGGATGAGCATATTTTGGCATAAGAAATATTTGCTGGCTGAAAGAATGGTCTATACCTTGCTTTTGTTTTCTAACATATTCTGGATGTCCTCATTCTTTTTTAATGGCTGTGCAGAGTTCTGCTTGTTCGTCAATGGTACCTTAATTTCAATCCTTCATTATAGACATTTGTTGCAAATTCTTTACTATTACAAGACAATACAGATGGTTGTGTGTTTGGATCTATATAGGATAAATTCCTAGAAAAGGAATCACTAGTTCAAAATATGCACATCTCAAAATCTTATAATAGGTTTTCCTAATTACCTCCCGAAAGGGTTGTATTAATTTGCATTCCTACAACATGTGGTTTCCACCATGTGTTCAACAACCCATGATATTATCAATCTTCTTCATCTTTGACAATCTGATAGCCCAAAATTTATTTGCTTGTTTTGCATTTCTTTTATCGTGACTTAGCATTCTGTCTTACATTTATCGGCCATTTGAATGTTTTCTGTGGATTATCTGTTTATGTCCTTTTATCATTTTTTACTGTATTGTTAACTTTTTTTTTTTAACTATTGAAGCTTCTTATACATTATAGGTGACCACCTTTCGTTACATATGTCAAGAATATTTGTTAAGTGTGTCTTCTACTGTGCAGTTTTTAGGTAGTCAAATTTCCCGATTTTTCCCTTTGTGATTGATAGCCTCAGTATAATGCTGAAAAATACTCTCCACCTTAAGATTATAAAACAATTCTAATATTTTTCTAGTTCTTTTACGATTTTTTCACTTGAATCTTTAATACATCCAGATTTTGTTTTATAGTAAAGGTAAGGTAAGGACCTACCTTTATTCTTTTGTTCTTTTGCAAAATATAACCAAATAAATCAACGAACAGGCCCATTTATTGATTATAAAATGCCAATTTTATCATATACTAAATTTCCAAATATACCAGCCTGTTCTGGAACTCTCTATTCAATTCCATTATTATAGATTTATGATATACTTTGGGATCTGGTAGGGCAGACAGAGAAACATTTTAGATATGCTTTATTCTCTGAGAGTAGCACAGTCACAACCCAAACTAGTTTCGATAAACTAACCAACAGAAGTAAATTCATTCATCAGTAAAGACTTTAAATACTGTTATACAGATTATTCTTTCATGGCACGTACAGGCATTTCATATGGAGAACTGCCATTCCACTCACATTTTGTTCAGTTATTAGAGAACAAAAAGTTATGAGAATAATAATGATTCTGTATTAATTGCTGATAAACACACTTTCGATCAATGTACAGTTTTGTAATTTTTTTCTTTTTCCTTATGTTGTTCTGGTTATATTTACTGAAATGTACTTTTATATCTGTTGAATAAGATAATAACAATTTGGCATCTGTATTCTGAATGTCTTTGTCACATTTTTGTAATTCATTTTTCGGAAATTAAAAAAAAAAAAAAAAAAAAAAAAGGTCCTTTACCACAGATCGTTTGGGAAGCATCTAGAGTTACCCGATTTCAATTTCCAATTGTGTGTTGCTAGCATACGGAAACATGATTCATTTCTGTATGTTGACCTTGCATCCTAAGACCTTGCTAAACTCACTAATTAGTTCTAATTGTCTTTTTATAGCTTCCTCAGGATTTTCTACACAAACAACCACATCATCTGCAAAAAAAGAGCTTTATTTTTTCCTTCCATCTGTGTGACTTTTCTTTCTTTTTCTTGCCTTTTTGTACCGTCTAGGATGATGAGGGTCTATAGTAATGATGTAGAGTTGTTAAGTAACGCACCCTCTCATTCCAGGTATTTGTAATTTGTACCTTCCTTTTTCCTTATTAATCTGGCGAGAGTGTTATCAATCTTATTGATTTTTTCAAAGAACCAGATTTTTGTTGCATTGATTTTATCAAATGTTTTCCTTTCTTTTTAATGCCCTCCCCTTTATTATTCCTTTCTCCTGCTTGTTCTAGGTTTACCTTGTTCTTCTTTTTCTAGTTTTTTAAGTGGAAGAACCTAGTTTCTTCAGTCACTGACTTTAAACCTTTTTACTTATCTAAGCATTTAATGTTAAAAATTACCCCCTCTCTTCCCTTCTCGGGACCTTCACTTCTGCAATTACTCCCCATCTCCTGCATCATCCATTTTTCTCTTTCTACAGAATCGTCCCCATCTTCATACAAGCATGATGCTTTAGTGCCTATCAGAAGGAAAAAGTAAAACACCCTCTCTTGCCCCCACACCCTCCTCAGGCTACCACCCCATTCCCCTACAGTCTGGTTCTCCCTATTCTACACTCTGTCTCTACTTCCTTGTTCCCCTTCTCCTACTACATCAAGTGTTCACCCTCACCTCTACGTTGAAATCGCTTTCATCATGGTCACCAACAAGCTCCATGTCGCCATATGCAATGACCCATGTTCAGGCCTCAAATATTTATTATTCAGCCGCATTTGGCATACTCTGTCCCTGGCTCCCAGGCTCCCATACGCCCCTCCTTTGCCCTTTTTCCTCCTGGCTAATCCTCCTCCCCTTGCCAACCTCTCAATTGGTATGTCCTAGGGGACAGTCCTCAGCCACTGCCTTTTCTTCTTGATTTACACCCACTACCCAGGTGCCCTTCATCCACTCCTAAGATTTTAAGCATCATTTTATGTATTCAAGCTATTCGAGGCTATATAATTTCGAAGTACATTTTGTAATGTAAAATAACATTTACGTCTTTTAATCTGTGACGTTAGATTATACTTCCATGAGGACAAAAATCCCCACTCTTGTTCTTTTGCATCCATTGTTAAGTATCTAAGCACAGTACCCTGTGCATGGTAAGCCCAGAATGAACACTGTCAACCCCATTTCTGACTTTGCTTGAGCACTGAAAAGTATACAGGCTCTACTACTAGGCAGAAGCGGGATTCGCAGTAATCCACAAGTGACAAGTACCACCTACAAATCATTCAGCCTTAAAGCCAGGACTTGCTCAGGGCTCATAATCTGTTCTGATCACCTTACCAAAAAACCAAACCTGTTGCCGTCAAGTCCATTCCAACTTATAGTGACCCCTACAGGACAGAGCAGAACTGCCCCATAGGGTTCCCAAGGCTGTAATCTTTACGGAAGCAGACTGCCCCATCTTTGTCCCATGGAGCTGCTCTTAATCACTGTGCTACCAGGGCTCCACAAAATACCAAACAAACCACAACTAAATTAGAGCCACAGTTTCAATGTGGGTGGCCCAACGGAACTGCTGAGCGGGAAACTGTGCTGTTACCCGAGGAACATGCATCTCCCACCGGCTTACAGAGGCCGAGCAGAAAGCCCCTGGCCCTTAAGGATATTCCATCCAATGATACAGTGAATATAAACCTGAGACAGCCTCATTTCAAACAAGAGTGAACAGGAAGCTTTTTTTTTTTTTTAAATTTTGTTGTTGTTGTTGAGAACATACACAGCAGAACATACACCAAGTCAACGTTTTTACATCTATCATTTAGTGGCATTGATTACATTCTCCGAGCTGGGCAACCATCCTCACCCTCCTTTTCTGAGTTGTTCCTCCCCCATTAACATAAACTCACTGCCCCCTAAGGTTCCCGTCCAATCTTTCGAGTTGCTGTTATCAATTTGATCCCATATAGATAGTTCTCAGCAGAGCAGCACAGGGTTTTGAGTTTCAGGTTACAATGATTCCCTACGTATCCTGTCTGCTGGCGAAGACCAAGCTCAGGCCGTCTGCTGTACTGTCACCTCACGGGGGAGGAAGTACAAAAGGCCACTCAGTGTCACTGCGTGGAAAGGAAACCATACGCTCCTCCTCAAGAGATGGCCAGCCTCAGCCACTACTAGATGCTGTTTTACAAACTCACTATTTTCTAATTACTTCAGAGATCTTGCAAAGTGAGGTACCAGGATCTCTTCTACTTGGTTTAAGACACCTGACGGAACTTTTCTGCACAAACTGGCTCTTAACAAATAGAAATGAAACGTACCTCACGAGTTATAAGTCAGATATCAAAGATTTTCTGTTTGAAAAAGGACTCAGAACTGATCAATCATAACAAACAGAATGTTCAGCCAGGTTTTCCGAGACAAAAACCGTGGGAGTAACAGACACTGAAGCACGCGCATTCCAAAAAGGAAACATGGCAACGGTGCTGCCAGTCAAGCTTTTTATTGTTCACTGAAAACTACCCGTCTGGAAAGATTCTGTTGCATTCTGTACAGAATGCAAAGTCTGACACTGAAGTACGCGTGACATACAGTGTAACTCACACAAATGTTACATATTTTACCAAGATAGTGCCCACCTCTCTAAACATTACATTTTAATAGAATGAAGTATTACTTTTTAAATTATTATAAAATAATTGTTGCATTATATAATTAATTACTAAATGAGAACTGTAAACACTGCAATCATAAACAAAACACTCTAAGCAAAGCACTGCAAAATTGCTCTGTTGCGGCATCGCCCTGGAGCGGGGGATGGAGGGGCCCAGGTGGAACATGGCCGACAGAAACCGGCCCTCTCGCGGGGACTCTTCCCGGGAGGCCGGCTGCCACTCTTGCTGCTCAGCCAGCGGGGCTTCCCTGAGGGCCCACGCTGACTGCTCATCCCCAGCCTGGGGCCAGGCAGACAGGAGGGGGAGGAGCCCTAGGTGGGAGGAAGCTTGTGTCGCCACCGCATATACTGCTTCAACTCCATGGAAAAGAACGCGTAGCATTTCAGGTGGGACTCTGACACTCCAAGCAAGCATTAAAATGTGCTTGAGAATAAACGTATTCACCTCGGGAACACAAGCTAAATTCTCTGCCATTGGCAAGCACCATCATGCATTCCTTTCTGCCATTACTGTCATCAAGATGCTCTAAAAGAGACTGCTGCCCGTCAGAAGGCCAGGGCAGAGTCACAAAACTTCTCCAGTTAGAACTACTCACTCCATGAGTTAAGAATGAATACAGAAAAAGAAAGAGACATAGCTTTTTTTGGACAGCAGCAAAATTCATCTCTATCATTCACAGGGCAACACGTGTAAGCACTGCAACGGTACTCACGATTCCAAGGTCAACTTCAAGTACATCCACACTTCCCTCCAAACTGAGAAAATCCTGGGCAGCATACAACATCTCCACCATCTTCTCCTCACCAAACACTAGCAGGGCTCAGAAAGCTCATTATAGATAACAAACGCCAAAAAAAAAAGGGCATCTTAAGACACAGACAGCAATGGAGGACAACCACACCTCTCCCTGGGCTTCCCTGGCAGGAGGCAAAGCAAGGCTGTGCGAAACAGCAGTCCTGAGCGGACGGATGCTGCTCACCATCCAGGAGAGACTGCAGTTACAGAGCTCGTCTGCTCACGGCCAATCATGGGTTAGCAAATGAGCCCTGGAACTAGGACAAGTCTTGCCGCCAAAGCAAAGTTTCTTCTCACCTAAGAAGTTTTTATAAATGAGCTTTTCCAACAGCCCAGCTTCTGTACTTCATATTAAGCTATTAATGGGCAGAAGCCACCCTCAGAGCTCAAATACGTAATATTAATGTTCTCAGATGTTCTATACTTTCCAAATTTTCCCACAAAAATTTCATCAAACTATCCATTTGTAAGTCAGTAGTAATAACCAGACATATGTATACATATACATTTATTCTACTCATCAAAGAACACCATGGTCTGATAAGAATAAACTCCAGTCCAATGAGTATCTTATTCCCCTCCCCTTAACTCTGCATGGTAAATTCCACTCTTTAGTGTCTTCAGGGGAATAACTATAATTGTCTATGAAACTGTTTACAACCCTGCTAGAAGCCCTTCTCCTGCTAAATCTCTAGATTGAGATATTCTAATAATTTAGACCCTGGGGAGAAGGGGGAATGTTGCTCATTGATAAAGGTCTAGTTCACATGTAAGGTTCTGGTCCCTGGAATGGCATGTGGCCAGCCCAAAATACTGGCCACGTTTCTGTTCTGAATTTGCTCATCAATCAAAATTCACCCATCTGTCGTCATCACTACTAAGCCCTCTCGTTGCTGCTCCTATTTCTTCTGGACGCTCTACTGTGCACATGGGACTCGTTGATGGATGGCTTTAATGTGATGGTAATTTTCATTTCACACTACCAGCTCCCCCAAAGCCATCCACTGAGAACAATTTCTAGCTGGTACAGGTACAACTCACTGGCTTTTCTTCTTTATAGAGGAAACCAAGAGGGCTGTTTAGAAGCTGAATGAACACCTTGGGTCTTCCTGTAACAGGAATGCTGTATTTGCTACCAAAACCCATAGAAATTTACTAGATCTAAAGATTATATGTATTATGTAAAAGCATAAACTTGGCAATTTAAAATATATTTTCAATTTTACACTGATCCATTTTGGGGGAAAGTGTTGTTTAATATAGCATCACAGGAGCAAAACAGAAGTTTCAACACTACCCTGGTGGCTTGCTTTCCTCCAGCTTTGGGTTACGCACCCACCAACTCCAGGGAAGCCTGTCCCGAGCACATCACTCAGCTCCCAACACATCACTGAAGTAAAACGCTGGGCTCCACCTCCACTAGCCCAGCAATGAGCATGCCAATGTTAAGCACTGCAGCCAATGGCCTTTGGGCAGAGACATGAAAAACCTTAAACGGAGCGAAGACTTTGCACAAAATAAGCTGGATCCTGTATCGCCTTCCCAGGGAATCAGAAAGCAATAGTTTCTTAGTTAAAGAAACTGAACCTATGCTCAATGTAATGCCTCAAAAAGAACAATCTAGAATGGCAAAAACTTCAGAGACATACAGCTTATTAATCAGTAGCTTACTCTGGCTAAGTTGCTGTAGGACAGACAGCACATTTAGAAGCACAGCCCACCATGTTCTCACACAACAGGGTGCCAGTTGACAGATGATGGCAGATCAGAGATGATAGCCCTTTAGCCTTCTGTGACTTCAGAACGTGACAAGATAGAGACTCACCAGAATTCGACATTCGGGTGTTTGCTTGCCCAGCCCCTATCAGGAGGCAGCTGAACTCCTGATTCTGGCTTCCATATGGCATTCTCTGTAGTTCCACTCACCGACACTGGTGGTTCTCAACTTAACTGCACATCACAATCACTTGGGAAGCTTTTAAAAAAACACCAAATGCCCTTGCCAAGTCAATCTGGAGGGTGTAGCCCTCTTTATGCTCCCAGGTGGTTCTAATGTGCAGTGGGATGCACACCACTGATCTATCCCTTGGGGACAGCTGTGGCATGAAAGCCACTTGAGGGGGGCTCATATCTAGACGGTTATGTTTTTTTCTAAATTCCACCAGGAAATGGGACTTTTAGAAAAAGGCACAGTTGTGCTTCCTGTGAAGACGCAGCCTGCTGCCTGGGAGGTGCTGCCCCCCGGAGATTATCTGGAGCGCTGGCTGAAAAGAAGGAAGTCCTTGTCCTGGCAGAGCAGGCAGAGCTTCAGGGTTCGGCAGGAGCCTCCAGCAACGAAGAACGCCCAGACGCCCATGAGCACCATGGCCGTGTACGCTGATGCCAGGTTTATCCCGTAATGAGGACTGATGAAAGTCTGCAAAGGACAAATAAATCCGCTTGGGTGATAACGGCAAGCTTACTAAACACCTGGGGTAAGCACAGATAAAGGAGAACACGGGCTGCTTCCAACAGCTAGGGGCTTTTTCACCGAACAATGTCTGTCACTCTTAAGAAGCCAAATCCAAAAAACCCGCTGCCATCAAGTCAATTACGACTCCTAACAACCCTATAATAGGACACAGTAGCACTGCCCTGTAGGGTCTCCAAGGCTGTAATCTTCCTGGAAGCAGACTGCCACATCTTTTTCCCTCGGAGTGGCCGATGGGTTTGAACCGAGGACCTTTTGGTGGTAGCAGCCGAGTGCTTAACTACTACGCCACCAGAGCTCCTTTGATGAGGAGCACTAGGACCACAAAAGACACACAGAACTAATGAACTAACCTAGTCAACAGACACTGCCCCGTAGGTGCTGTGCTTTGCTGTGTTCAAATGGGAAAATCCTAAAAGGTAGTGAGAAGCCAGAGCCCAATGGAAAACCCAATAGAAGATACGTGTTCTATAATCTGGGCCCTGGTTTAAACTCATCTCTCTTCATTAAATTGGCTTTTAGAATTTGCAAGAAAATGAGGTGAACCCAAATTACATTAGGTAATGGGATATCCTTTGTATTCAAGGGGGCACGAGGGAATAGCATCTCTTTTTTGGCTTCCAAACTGCTGTGGGTTCCAAAATTTTATTCACTGAGAAAAACTGGTGGATGCCACCATGTGCTAGGTACCGCATTGGGTGCTGGGAACACAACAGTGAAGACCAAAGTCTCTACCCTAATTGAGCTTATATGCTAGTAAGGGAGGCAGCTAATGAACAAGGAAACAAATGAGTAAGGCAAATAATTACAAATTGTGATGAACAGTAGGTCAGAATAATTCTAAGTGTGGTGATGCTTGGATGGTGGTGATTAGTTGGTCAACAAGGCCCGGAGGAAGTGAACTTTAATACCTACAGGAAGGAGGAGGGCGTATGAGCCATGTGAAAATGGAGCAGGACATTCCAAAGCAAGGGAAGCGCGTGGACAAAGGACAATCAAGAGCTTGGGGCAATTGAAGTGGTCAACATTAAGGATGTGCAGTGATGGAGTGGGCAGCACACGGGACAAGGTCAGAGAGAAAGGCATGGACCCAGTGTTGTAGGTCAAAGGCAGGAGTGTGGATTTTATCCTCTGTGCAAAGGCAGAACCACAGAACGGTTTTAGGCAGAGGAGCTGAATGACTGGATTTCAGTTTGTAAAATGGGCTAAAGGGGGCTATGGTGAAATCAAGGAGACTAGCTGGGAAGACATCGTCCTGGATGCTGAGCCACAGGACGGGGAGTCAGACGAGGGTGGTGGTGCTGGTGGAGATGGCGAGAGTGGACATGACAGGCACTGAGCATTTTCTGTCCTCTTCACAGTGACTCTACTCCTCAAATCTTCAAATTCTAATTTACTTTACAGGGTGGTAAATGCTTTTGTATTTTTCTTCCGTTTGTTTCTTTTAAAAATATTTTTTCTCTTTTAAACAATTAAAAAGTAATACACGATTGTTATAGAAAATTAGAATACACACACGAGCAAAAGAGACAAAATTTTAAACTATTAAAATACAGATAGGTTAATATTTATTAAACAGAACACAAAAAGCGCACACTATAAAGAAAAAAAACAAATTAGACTACATTAAAATTAAGAACTTTCGTTCATCAGAAGATTACATTAAGAGAATGCAAAGACAAACCAGAGAGTAGGAGACGTTACTTGCAGTACTTATATCTGACAAAAGATTCTTTTACATAACATATAAAGAACTCCTAAAAATTAAAAAAGAAAAAGACAGACCACCCAACAGAATGATGGGCAAATGAACTGAATGGCCACTCCACAAAAGAAATCTCCACGGAGTCAATAAACATAATGAAGTGCTCAATCTCATTAATCATCAGGAAAATGCAAATTAAAACTAGAATGTGAAAACACAGCACACCCAGCAGGATGGCTAACATTAAAGGGAACACCGTGTCAAGCACTGGACAGGAGGTAGAGAAACTAACTCACAAATTATTGATGGGAGTAGAAAGCAATACAATCACTCTGGAAAACTGAGCGGTATGACTAGTTGAACATATGTATACCCCACAACCCAGCAATCCCACTCCTAGGCATATGTACAAAAGCAATGCGTACATATGTTCACCAGGAGACACACACTAAAATATTCGTATCAGTACCACGCATGATAGTTAAACACTGGAAACACCATCAATGGCTCTCCGCTATAGAATGGATAAATAAATGTTGGTATAGTCACACAACAGAATACCATACTGCAATGAATAAGCAATCTATAGCTACGTACAGATATATATTACAAACATAATGTTCGAAGAAAGAAGCCAGACGCAAAAATAAATATTCTATGATTATATAAAACACCAAAGGGCAGAGCCAAGCTGTGGTGTTAGAAGTCAGGACAGTGGCTACCCTGGCAGGGACTGTTGTTGTTGTTATTAGGTGCCGTCAAGTCGGTTAAGACTCATGGCCACCCTATGCACAACAGAACTAAATCGTGCCTGGTCCTGTGCCATCCTCACAACTGTTGTTATGTTTGAGCCTACTGTTGCAGCCATTGTGTCAATTCATCTCACTGAGGGTCTTCCTCTTTTTCACTGAGCCTCTACTTTGCCAAGCATGACATCCTTCTCCAGGGACTGTTCCCTCCTGCTTACACGTCCAAAGTATGTGAGATGAAGTCTTGCCATCCTCCCTTCTGAGAAGCATTCTGGCTGTACTTCTTCCAAGACAGATTTGTCCATACTTCTGGCAGTCCATGGTATATTCAATATTCTTCACCACACCATAATTCAAAGGCATCAATTCTTCTTCGGTCTTCCCTATTCATTGTCCACCTTTCACATGCATGTTAAGCAATTGAAAATACCATGGCTTGGGTCAGGTGTACCTTAGTCCTGACATCTTTGCTTTTTAACACTTTAAGGAAGTCTTTTGCAGCAGATTTGTCCAATGCAGTACGTCATTTGATTTCTTGACTGCTGCTTCCATGGGCGTTGATTGTGGATCCAAGTAAAATAAAATTCATGACAACTTCAACATTTTCTTCATTTATCATGATGTTGCTAATTGGTCCAGTTGTGAGGATTTTTGTTTTCTTTATGTTGAGGTGTAATCCATACTGAAGGCTGTAAGTGCTTCAAGTCCTCTTCACTTTCAGCAAGCAAGGTTGTGTCATCTGCATATCATAGGTTGTTAATGAGTCTTCCTCCAATCCTAATGCTGCATTGTTCTTCATATGGTCCCGCTTCTCAGATTATTTCCTCGGCATACAGACTGAATAAGTATGGTGAAAAGGATACAGCTTTGATGCAAACCTTTTCTGATTTTAAACCACTCAGTATCCCCTTGTTCTGTTCAAGCAACTGCCTGCTGGTCTGTGTACAGGTTCTGCATGAGCAAAATTAAGTATTCTGGAATTCCCATGCTTTGCAATGTTACCCATAATTTGTTATGATCCACACAGTTGAATGCCTTTGCATAGTCAATAAAACACAGGTAAACACCTTTCTGGTATTCTCTGCTTTCAGCCAAGATCCATCTGGTATCAGCAACAATATCCCTTGTTCCATATCTCTTCTGAACCTGACTTGAGCTTCTGGAAGTTCCCTGTTGATATACTGCAACCACTTTTGAATGATCTTCAGCAAAATTTTACTTGCATGTGGTATTAATGATATTGTTCAATAATTTCTGCATTCTGTTGGATCACCTTTCTTTGGGATAAGCACAAACATGGATGACTTCCAGTCAGTTGGCCAGGCAGCTGTCTTCCAAATTTCTTGGCATAGATGAGTGAGTGCTCTCAGCATTGCACCTGTTTGTTGAAACATCTCAATTGGTATTCATTCTGTCAATTCCAAGAGTCTTGCTTTTCCCCAACACCTTCAGTGCAGCTTGGACTTCTTCCCTCAGGACCACTGGTTCTCGATCATGCCCTGAAAGGGGAGTGACTAGAAGTGGCACAAGGAAGCCCCTGGGCTGACAATGTTTTGGCTCTCATTTGTGTGCTAGTTAGGTATGTGTGTTCATGCTGTGAAAATTCATCAAGATGCACACTTCAGATTCCTGTACTTTTCTGTACGTATGTTATTTTTAATAAAAAATTACTTAAACAGCCATTCTCTGAAATCTGCCATTCAGAGACAACATTAAGATATAAGGTACTGAGTTCTAAAAAACAGTTTAAACACGTGTGTGGTACTCACCAGGGCTGACACGAGCAGATGGGTCAGGAGGACGACAAGAAGGGTGTGCCACCTTTTCTTCTCACAGCCATCAAAAAACACAATGCCCCAGAAGATGTGCAGCAGAATGATAACTAGCGTCATGAAAGCTGAAAAACAGCCAACCATCAGTGCCCAGTCATGTAGGCAATAGAAACCAAGGCCCACGGACCCCCTGTACACAGCTATACATAGGCTCTTGGAGTACACCATGCGGCCAGAAGAGATTAAACACATCTGACATACACAGGTCCTAGACACACTCTGCTCCAATGGAACTCCAAAGGCAACGTTTCTGAATGACGGGTTCCCTCTGCAAAGCTTCTAGTCTAGATGTGAAACAAAAGGCAACTCGACTCTGGTTTTACAGCCATTCCCCTGAGGAATGTCATAAAACCATTCTGATATCTAACCAGCTCCCTCACTTCCTCCGTTAGCCTAATTTAGAGACTTTTCTCAATTAAAAGAAGTGTCCTCAGTTTAAAACCAATCCCCTCACTAAAGTGAAATTTCTCCTTGGATTTTAAAAGAAAAAAGACCAATGGAAAAATAAGATAATACTAAAAATTATAATTTTTAAAGAGAGAAATTGATAGCAGATATCTTGTCTTGATTTTGGGGTTCCCTTATCCACAAAACCAAATATTCACTTTAAAGAAATCCCTGACTGAAATTAATCCACCACAGGCTTTTCTTTCACCCGAAGTTGAAAATCCTTCCTTTCTTGTTTGAAGCCAGGCTTAAAAATTTGAATTTCGGAAGATATGGTGGGGTGGAGGGACAGAGATCATCTGTTGTTGTTAGATGCCATTGAGTCACTTCCTACTCATAGCGACCCTATGATCCTTCATAAAACAGAATGAAACACTGCCCGGTCCTGCACCATCCTCACAATCATTACTATGTTTGAGCCCCTTTGTTGCAGCCACTGTGTTAATCCATCTTGTTGATGGTCTTCCTCTTTTTTGTTGACCCTCTACTTTACCAAGCATGATGTCTTTCTCCAGGGACTGGTCCCTCCTGTTAACATGTCGAAAATACTTACGACAAAGTCTTGTCATCCTCCCTTCTAAGGAGCATCTGTACTTCTTCTAAGACAGATTTGTTCATTATTCTGGTAACCCATGATATATTCAATACTCTTGAGCACCATAATTCAAATGCATCAACTCTTCTTCAGCCTTCTTTATTCATCGTCCAGCTTTCACAGCATATGAGGCAACTGAAAACACCACACCTTGGGTCAGGCGCACCTTAGTCCTCAAAGTGACATCATTGCTTATCATCACTTTAAAGAGGTCTTTTGCAGTATATTTGCCCAATGCAATCCGTCACTTGATTTCTTGACCGCTGCTTCCATGGGTGTTGGTTGTGGAGCCAAATAAAACAAAGTCTTTAACAACTTCAATATTTTCTCTGTTTATCATGTTGCTTATTGGTCCAGTTGTGAGGATTTTTGTTTTATGTTGAAGTATAATCCATACTGAAGGCTGCAGTCTTTGATCTTCATCAGAAAGTGCTTAAAGTACTCTTCGCTTTCAGCAAGCAAGATTGTGTCATCTGTGTATCACAGGTTGTTAATGAGTCTTCCTCCAATCCCGATGCTGCATTCTTCATATAATTTAGCTTCTCGGATTATTTGCCCAGCATACAGACTGAGTAAGTATGGTGAAAGAATACAACCCTGATGCACACCTTTCCTGATTTTAAACCACTCAGTATGCACTTGTTCTGTTCGAGCAACTGCCTCTTGGTCTACGTACAGGTTCCACATGAGCACAATGAAGCATTCTGGAATTCCCATGCTTTGAAATGTTACCCATGATTTGTTATGATCCACACAGCTGAATGCCTGCATAGTCAATAAAACACAGGTAAACACCTTTCTGGTATTCTCTGCTTTCCGCCAAGATCCATCCAACATCAGCAATGATACCCTCGCTCCAAGCCCTCTTCTGAACCCAGCTTGAGCTTCTGTCAGTTCTGCTGCAACTGCTTTTGAATTATCTTCAGTAAAATTTTACTTGTGTGTGATATTAACGATATTGTTCGATAATGTCCACATTCTGTTAGATCACCTTTCTTTGGAATGGGCACATATATGGATCTCTTCCAGTCGGTCGGCCAGGAGGCTGTCTTTCAAATTTCTTGGCATAGATGAGTGAGCACCTCCGGTACTGCATCCATTTGTTGAAACAGCTCAATTGGTATTCTGTCAAATCCTGGAGCCTTGTTCTTTGCCAATGCCTTCAGTGCAGCTTGGACTTTTCCCTTCAATACCATCGGTTCTTGATCATATGCTACCTCCTGAAATGGCTGAACATCAATCAATTATTTTTGGTAAGTGACTCTATATTGTTTCCATCTTCTTGTGATGCTTCCTGCATTACTCAACATTTTGCCCATAGAATCCTTCAGTATTGCCACTTGAGGCTTGAATGTTCTCTTCAGTTCTTTCAGCTTGAGAAATGCCGAGTGTGTTTTTCCCTTTTGGTTTTCTAACTCCCGGTCTTTGCACACTTCACTGTAACACTTTATCTTCTCAAGCCGCCCTTTGAAATCTTCCGTTTAGCTCTTTCACTTTGTCATTTCTTCCATTTGCTTTAGCTACTCTACATTCAAGAGACCATCTAGTGACCTGATATCCACTGATCTCAGTATAACGGTGAGGGCAGGGTTCAGTCAATCATGTTAAGATTAGCCAATGGTTGGTCTTCTATATTTCTCCCTCCTCTTCTCTCTATAAGCCTCATTGTAGCTAGCCTCTTCGAGCCATTTGCTTTTTCTGGAATCAAAATGGTCTCCCTATATACGTACTGGAGCCCTGGTGGCACAGCGGTTAAGAGCTCAGCTGCTAACCAAAACGTCAGCAGTTCAAACCCACCAACCGCTCCTTGGAAACCCTATGGGGCAGTTGTACTCTGTCCTACATGGTCGCTATGCGTCAGAATTGACTCAATGGCAATGGGATTTTGGTATATGCATATAGACTAAATGCTCAGAATAAGCCTTACAATCAAATTTCACTGAATTTTCATTATTTTTAACACAACAGTTTATAAGATTCTTCTTAAGAAAGTGGCCCTGAACTTGATATGCTCACACAGCTTTCTCTGTGGACACTGCCTGTGCGCGTGTCCTGGTCCGGATGCCCATGAAAGTGGGCAAGTCCCGTATGTCTGCAAGTTCTAATACGCAACCAAAAAAGGACACACCCATTTCCCTTTCTGACCACATAATAAGCTACCATTAGCACCCACCAGGCTGGCAAAAATTCAAGTCTGACAATTCTCTTCCGCACTGCCGGTAAGAAAACAATCAAGCGTTGCCTAGTAAAGCCGAAGTTTGTATTCTCTACTTCACTCCAGCAAGGCCACAGTTAGAGCTACACGCTAGGGCAGTTAGCTCTCAATCAATACATCATTCTCACCGGGGAACTTGCGAGGAATGAAGCTTATCCCATCTTCCCCAGACCTCTGGAATCAGAAACAACGGGGGTGGGTCCAGCAATCAGTGTTGAAACAAGCCCTCAGGTGCTCGTGATGCACTCAAATTTGAGAACCACTCTCTAGAGACACCCTCACACACGTGCCTGAGGACATCCCTAGACGAACACTCGCACCAGCACTGTGTGTAATAACAAAAAACTGGAAACCACCCAAACGTCCATCAACACCAGAGTGGACACACTGTAGTGTATTCATACGATGGAATACTATGTGACATATGTTATAAGTGATCTCAAGAATATAAGTTGAGTGAAGGGAAAAAAAAATGTGGAAAATGCATATGTTAAACTGAAAAATTTAAAATGAACTTGTGCCTAGAGAAATGGTAGCAATGGCAGTTACAAATAATATATATATGATAACATAATATTTGGGTACCGTTGTGGCAGAGTGGTTAAGAGTTAGGCTGCTAACCAATAGGTCGGCAGTTCAAATCCACCAGGCGCTCCCTGGAAACCCTATGGGGCAGTTCTACTCTGTCCTATAGGGTCGCTATGAGTCAGAATTGACTCGACGGCAACAGGTTTTCCGGTATAATAAAAATTATTTAATAATAATTATACATTATAAAGATGAATAATTCAACATTTACGAGCCAAAGAATGATGTTATAACAAATCAGAAACGCTTGCACATACAATGACAGTTGTTTCCTTCTATAGGGACATACTCACACCACGGTCAGTTGGCCATCCTAACTTGGTTAGATACATTATTTTCTTTTCTTTGAATCTCTCCTTGAATTTGAAGAAAATACAAATTCAATCCCAAACTCCCAGCACATCTTTTACTTTCTTTCAAATGAATCATTTAAGCTTAACTTCTCACGAAAACAGCCTATCTCACCAAAGGGAATTAGCACCATCTAGTGAAAGAAGCCAACCACTTGTCTGTCAGTTTGTCACACTGTGGTGGCTCACGTGCTGCTGGGATGCTGGAAGCTATGCCACTGGTATTTCACATACCAGCAGGGTAACCCACGGTGGACATATTTCAGCAGAGCTTCCAGACTAAGACAGACTAGGAAGAAGGACCTGATGATCTTACTTCTGAAAAACTGGCTAGTGAAAACTTTATGAACAGCAGGGGAATACTGTCTGATATACCGCTGGAAGATGAGCCGCTAAGGTTGGAAGGCACTCAAAATACGACCGGAGAAGAGCTGTCTCCTCTAAGTAGAGTTGACCTTCATGATGTGGATGAAATAAAGCTTGTGGGACCTTCATCTGCTGATGTGGCATGACTCAAAATGAGAACAACAGCTGCAAACATCCATTAGTAATTGGAATGTGAAATATACGAAGTATGAATCTAGGAAAATTAGAACTTGTCAAAAATGAAATGGAATGCTTGAAGATTGACATACTTAAGGCATTAGTGAGCTGAAGTGGACTGGTACTGGTCATTCTGAATCAGACCATCATAAAGTCTACTATGCCAGGAATGACAAATTGAAGAGGAACAGTGTTGCATTCACTGTCAAAAAGAATATTTCAAGATCTACCCTGAAGTATAACTGTCAGTGATAGGATATACTCATACACCTACAAGGAAGATCAGTTAATACGATTATTATTCAAATTTATGCACCCACCACTAAG